TATGTTTATATTTTTAATTTTTATAATCATATAAATAAGAATAACTAATTTATTGTTTGTACTTACTTTGTGTATATGATACTCTGCATACATTAAAAAAAATATATAAACCACTGTCCATTTAAGTACCTAGGTACCTAAAAATGTGTTATATAAAATCAGAAATATCAATGTGAGAAATATAAACAAATAAAGGAACTTAATTTATTACACTATAGTTTGATCTAATTGATCATAACAACTTTTTTAGTAAATCCGTGTGAATAATACATATTATATCTTTAAAAAAAAAACGATAACTTGAGAACATAAATAAGGTCAACAAATTATATTACTTATCAATGTATATTAAATTAATATTTGTCTTTGAAATTGAAATAATCCTAAAATACTAATAAATATAACAACTTAACCATACCTAGTAAGCAAAAAATTGAATATTTTAACAATTTATATTAACAACATTTACTAAACCTTATATAACTATTAAACTATATACTTTTATAGACTATACTTCATATATAGGGACATGTTATAAGTATTAATGTTATTAATAGTGTTAAGAAGTTTAATTAATTTAGTTTAATAGTTTAATATACCTGCTTGAAATATTAAACAAGAATTAAACATAATCAAAAAGAAATACTAACTATTGAATAAATAGTTTAAAAGATAATGATCTCCAGTATAGAGTATGTTCTTCTTGCTGAAATGGTTGACTCTTGGAATGATTGGTATCATAATGAAAATTATGTKTTTCTTTGTGGTGATGTAGCAGATCTTGAGGTGGGTTAATATCATAGGGTGTTTGATAAACTGTGCCATTTGTTATGTTGTGTTTTGTTTTTGTTGACTCATTTACATTTTTTCATTAGCATCATTAACTAATTTCATCATGTAATATTCAAATTTTTTTTTACTTTAGAATTTAATGTTTTGATATCTGGTAGTAAGCTTTTTAGAAAGTTCATATCTGGATCATCAGTTTCTTCATTTCTATCCTTTGTTCATTTTTTATTGGTGAAATAGTTGGTGGCTAACTGGCTATCTTATTTAGCTCATATAGTGATGACGTATTATCATGTTCAAACGCACCGCCACTGTTCTGCATTGGTGTGCACATAGACATAATATTTATTTAACTTCTACGAATTACGAAAAAAGCAACACGGGATGATAATTACATCACAGAATAAATTATGAAAAATTGATTAATTCTGTGCTTACACACATACTAGACTACCTACGTAGGTTCTAGCTAAGTTTTTAGCTAACTTCACTTTCGACCGAGTAACTGAAAGTGAGAAAATTATCTGACTGGTTTACGATCAGATCGATTATCGTGATCACCTTATCGTGTTATTACCTAATAAAACAATAACTTAAAAATTACAGTAATACAAATAAAATAACGTACATTTCCCCAACCCCACCTCCCCACCCATTTCGATTTTTCAACTTTTTCCAACGTCAATATTTAGTGCTCCATTCTTGCCAATTCCTGCCACCATTCCTGCTCAAATATCGCACTCGCAAAAATTAAAACCAAGTGGGCCGGGGGAAATGTTTTATCCAATTCAAATTCAGAAAATGGTGATTTGTAGGTTTAGGATGCTGAAGTCAACTCCGTTAAACGTAAATGGAAAATTGATTTTGACTGTTTAAGTATCCTACTTGAGGCAAGATATAATTCCATATTTGTGGTTACGAATCATTATAAACTGTTAAATTATTGGTTACCTACTGATTTATGAAACCTCAAATAACCTCAAGTCAGTAGCCAACTTTTTGTATACAATTTAATGTATTATATGTGTCAAATAAAAATTTTGTTTTCCTGCGTGTCAACTAGTTTGATAACCCTTTTTTATACTTAAAAATTCATACATCCATAGTTTAAATGATAAAAAATAAGTCAAATATTACATTATCAAACAATTTAAATATATTAAATACAAAATGTATAAGTAACACGTAACAACGTAAGTATGTAATAAAATTTAATTTATTAAAATAAAAAATATTAAAATGTTAAAATATAAAATTGTTATACATGCATTTTTAATGAGAAATTGGTTGCTGCATTTTATTGGCTATAATGAATCAATAACTGGTTGATTATAGTTGAACACAAGCTTCACCTTACAGTTGACTTCTTGACTTAATAAAATTCATTGAAGAATAACGATGGTCACACGCATGAGTAGATCCAAACATTCCAAACATTGTCGATAAAAAAAGTTAGTTTTTTCATATAGATGCAATTGAATTTGGAAGACTTTTCTACTCATTAAGAATCAAATTTTCTGATTTAATATTCCAACCAATTTCACTACCTATGATTATTGTTCAGCTCATTATTCAAATCAATAAATTTATTTCTCCAAATATTACTTCCCTGATATTCTATCAATTCCATTTCAAAAAATTTTCAATACTTGACCACTCAAAAAAATTAAGTTGAAGTTCGTCAAATTTTATATTATGTGGATTTWTTAAAAATTCTAAAGTTGAATCTAGATGACGAAATTAGGTAAACCTGTTGAGCAGTGTAGATATTCAATTGAATGCGTGTAGGTATAATACCAAAAACTTTTTATTTTATTTTTGTAATCTCAATTTATTTAAATCTACATACAACGACCAGTGGTTGGTTTTTGATGACAAACTCTTTTACACAGTTGCATTCATCAGTCAGCAGCTGTAAGTCTGTATTTTGTATTTGTGTTTAATATTTATATGTATCTTTTTTTACGTTTT